GGCCCCCAGCGATGCCCCCCCCCCCCCCGCCTACCTGACGTCGACCTTCAGCTTGGGGTAATACTGAGAGACGTATTTCTTGATCAGGCTGTAGGAGGCCTCCTTGGGCTCACAGAGGCGGGTGAAGGCCAGTGGGAGGACGTCTTCCAGCTTCACAGGTTGTTCCGGGCTGGCGACCGAGGCGCTCCTCTGAAAGGCAGGGCAGACGCTCTCCGTGAGGAGGACCCACCACGGCAGGAGCCAGCGGGTGCCCAAAGGACTGCTTCCAGGCAAACCCCGGCAGTTGCTCTGGGCAGGTTTCCCGGGGGCCCATAAACCCACGCGGTGCGCCTGCAGCCACACGCCTTCCTCAGCAAGTAGAAGGACTCGGGCGTCCTCTGCACAGAACAGCCCAGCCCTTTGCTGTCCTTTGAGAAGAAAGGACATCAAGTTTCTAGAGGCCCAAATGCCACAGCCAACAGTAAGGAGGAGAGTCACACCCTTTGCCATGCAGGCATGCAGGGGGCAACAGACAGACGTGCCGCCCCCGTTTCTCTTTCTGAGCTGCTGACCGAGCCACAGGCATTGCTGGCCAAATGGCCGCCCACACCCCTCGCCCTCAAGCGCCCCACAGCACTCTCAGTCCTGGGCTTGGCTTCCTCCTTCCACTCCCATCGTCCCTTTGGACCCAACCAATCACGCAGTCAAGCAAAACGAGGTGGAAGAGGGTGGCCGTGCCAGGCTCCTTTTGGGCAGAACACGCCCCCCCCCCCCCAACCATCACAGCCCTGAAGCCACCCCTCATTTAGCTGGCCAGCACATTCCAAGTACTCTCTTCCCTTCCAGGAATACGTCCGAGAGGAGAGGGAGAGGCATGTCAGCTGTTTCCCCCAAGTCCTCAAGGCACCCACCATCAACGGACTGCTTCCGAAACTGATGGCCCCTCGTGTCCCAGAGGTGAGAGCCCGACCGTGAGGCACAGTCACCACGAGCCCCCTCTGCCCCACGCACCAGCGCTGCCACCTCTGGGTGGGAAGGAGGGCAGAGCTCCCGAAGGGACAGCAGACCTTCCCCAGGTGGATCTCGAGGCGCTCTTGCAAAGCCCTGAGCAGAATGCTTTCATCACACAAGGTCTTCTGCAGCCTCACCTTCCGATCTCTGGATTTTGAAGCCGTTTTCCCTGAGTTTGGGGTCACCACAAAACTCCCAGAGGCCCCCTTTCCTTTCACCTAACAGAGAGAGAGAGAGAGAGAGAGAGAGAGAGAGAGAGAGAGAGAGAGAGAGAGAGCGCACCATTCAACCGGGGTAAGACCTTCTAGGAGGAAAGGTTGGGAGGAACATGGGCAAAGTCTCTCTAAACAGGGAGCAAGACAGGATGCGTGTGGGAAAGGGCACAGGGCCTTTCCTCTGCCTTCTGTTGCCCTCTTTGATCTGTGTAATGTTTAATGCTTTTGATAGCAGCCACGGACTTCTCAGGTGGGCGACAGAGTAACAAATACGTTAAGTGACAAATGGCTGCCTCCCGGAACCCTTCGGGCCAGTTTCGGACATTCCGACGCCCTCTCTCTCTTCTCAGCCAGGACGCTGCTGCGCTGACAAGCTGCCCACCCCCTCTTGGGTGTGACTTGCAGCCCAGTCCCATCCACTGTGGCCACACTGCCCTTCCTTGGCGGCCCCGGGGATGGCGCTGCTGGTCCCTGGCCAGAGACTGGCCCCCCGCCCCTGGCCTGAGGGGACTGGCCCCCGGAAGCTCTCCCTCGGCTCACCTGTCGGATGACTCCCCGCTCCAGCTCTCGCTTCAGGGCCTGCTTCAGGAGATAGCCTCTCCGCTCCAGTTCCAGCGAAGGATACTTGTGGATGATGTACTTCCGAATGGCCACCACCGACGCCCCACCTTTCTGGTAGCATGCCTGCAAGAGACCCGGCCCGTTAACGGGCTGGGAACTAGGCTGGAGCCAAACATTCAACACCAAACGTTTTCAGGATGAAAGGAAGAATTCTGGAGGGGAACCAAAACACGGCCCAAATTTCACCCACCCACCCACCCCGGTTTCTTCCTTGCCTAATCAGCTGCTTCATTCCCCCCCCCCCCTTCAAATGGCTGTTCTTCCCATTCCGGGGGAAGCAGGGGGGCTGAGTGGTCAGAAGAACGTGGCTGCGTGCCAAGGCCACTGGTGGCAAACGAAGGACTGTGCCAATGGGGCATCAGTGACACTGGACTTGGGGAAGGGCTTCCCAGCTACCTAACAGCATCTGTTCGCACAGGAACAGAAAGAGGCATTTTGACAGGAATTCTGGAAGGCTGCCACAGGGGGTGCCATTCGTGGGGTTCAAGCTTTTCACAAAACACTTTCCTGTGATCCGACTCAGTCCTAATTAGACCTATTTTTAGGAGGCTGGGAAGGCAGGAGAGATGGAAAGGGTGGCCTTTGTCCAGCCAATGCTGTTCTAGAAACGCCCCCTTCCAGACAGAAGGATTCTTTACGCTTCCATCCAGGCAGGCGGGATTCAGACTGGTCTGCCTGCGAGAAGGATCCTGCGCGCGGGGGGGAGGGGGGGCTGATGCCGGCCTTGGCCCCCATGCAGCCTCGCCCCACTGCCGGGGTCCTTGGGGTGGCCACACTGCACTGCCACTGCGGCTCCCGTCCCCTCTGACGGCAGGGCCACGTTCTGGCGCAGGCCCCAGCCCTTCTCCCGAGCCCCGGCTGGGTCCTGCCCCCCCCGCAAAGGCCCCAAACGCTGTGCGGGCCGGCCAGGCTTGCCTTAATGGCCTCGATCAGAATGGCATCCATCTTGGGGCGGGAGGACGCCGCCATCTGCGTCTGCTTCTGCGCTCTGGCTAGCTGGCTGGCCGAGAGGGTGGCCCAGGCGGGGATGGTCTTCTTCACTTTCTTCTCCTTCTCTTTCGCTGGATCCTTCTCCCTGTGCGAGGAAGAGAGACAGAGCGGCTGTCAGGCAGAGGTCCTCTCCCCCGAGGATCTTGCCCTTGAAGTCCTTGAATACATACGACTGGATCGAAGCACCGCCGCACCTGGGCGAAACCCCCCCCCCCCCCCCCCCAAAAAAACCCAACCTCTGCTCCGTGGGGCTCATATCCCACCCACCCCTAGCCTGGCAATTTTACTTACGAGGAGCTAGAAGTCAAAATTATTTCTCCTTTAAGAATCCCCAAGATGTGACTTTGAATGCCAAAAGGATAAGATTAGCAAAACGATTTTCAAAAGAAACGGTACAGAAAAGGGACCTGAGATGCTCCGTGGAGGAATCCCAGCAAACTGTTCCACTGCCTGTTAATTCTGTGTGCCTATCCCACAGACACGCACGCGAGGAGCACACCTGGAGCGGCCTTCTCCCGCATCAGACCCTCGGCGCACCAAGGACAGCCTTGCCTGCTTTGGCCAGCAGCGACTCTCCAGGGTGCTAAGTGAGGATCCTTCACCTCCCCTCCCGCCCCCTGCTCCTTTCCGCTTGGAGATGCCGGGGACGGAGCACGGGACCTCCCGCGTGCCAGGCAGAGGAGGCTCTACCCCGGAGCCAAGGCCCCTCCCCTCCGAGGGCGTCTCTCTTTGCAAAAGGGTTGGCCATACTGACAGCGTTCCCCCTGCCAAACCCGCCCCCTCCCTATCTGTTTATTTAAAATAATTATATCCCCTTCTATCAATTTATTTAAAATGATAATATCCCACCGCTTGCTCGGAAAAGATCTCCACGATGGCTAAAACAAGACGCAAAGAGCCCAACGCGGCCTCTGCTGCCTGGCATGTGGCCCTGTTCCCGGAGCCCCAAGGGAAGGCTGGGGGAGGCAGCTGCGGCTCCAGGTCCGTCTGACCCCTCCCCTGCCCCCAGTGACTGCTTGTGTGAGAAGGGGCCCAGGAAACACGGCAGGGGGGAGGAAGCGCAGCCGGGCAGGGCGCAGTCAGGAGCTCCCTGGGGCGCCCTGCTTCTGGAGAGGCGGGCATGTGCCTCTTTTGAGAAGCGGCCCCATTTGTCGGTGCAAACACACACCTCGCTCCTCAGCCCTAGACTCCAGGAGGACCACAGCCAGGGACCCCCTTCCCCTGCACCTTCCAGACTGCCAGGCTGGTGCTGAGCTCTGGTCCGGCTGACGCACAGGACTGGGGTCCCCTGGATGGGTCTTAGTCCAGGCTGGGGGTCTCGGCCTGTTCCTCTGCGCAGCGGGAGGCCTGAATTCTAGTCCTACGTCCACTGCTGAGTGTTCCTGGGAGCACGGGCATGCACTGTGTGAGGAAGGGCGAGGGAAGTGAAGCAGAGCTGTGGCTGCAGAGTGGTGGCAGTGTTGCCTTGGGAGCCGCCACACTGACGTTGCAGCGCCAGCTCTGGCCTCCGGGGGCTCTGCTGCTCCCAACTACGCTCCTGGAACTGAGCCCTGCGTCTCTGCCTCGTTTACTAATAACCTCATTTTTCGTGAACCGCCTGAGCACTGAGGAGGGTGGTTAGGAAATCAACCATGCCTACTGGCCCCGGCTCGCTCTCCAGCGCTTCCCAGGAGCCTCCTCTGAGCCCCTGGCCTCCCCTCTCCCCAAAGACATCACTTTGATGACACAGGGGCCCCCTCCCCACCCCCGGAGGCCACGCTCCTCCTTACTCCTTCTGGGCTTCCTCGGCAGGCTTCTCGGCAGGCTTCTCTCCGGCCTCGGGCTCCTTGGGGGGCTCCGCCTCACTCGACGTGGCGGGAGGCGTTTCATTCCCTCGCTCCTCCACAGTGGAGGCAGACTCTTCTGAACTGACATCGGGATCTGTGGGCGAAAAGGGCAGCGCGCACGCTGTGTGTCTGGGGGACGAAGCAGCGCTGCCCAAGAACGCACAGGTGTGCCCCGGGCCCTGGTGGTGGTTATCCCGCTCCTCCCTCCCTCCCTCCCTCCCGCACGCGTGGACCTCCCTGCTGCATTCCTCCCATCAGCCCTGCATGGTCGGTTCCACAGAGAGAAGTGCCTGGCTCCCAGGCGGTCACCCAGCGGACGGAGGGAGGATTTGGACCTGGGCCTGCCCAGCTCTCATCCGGCTGCCTGACAACTTACAGCCCCCCCACAACCCGGAGGCAAAGGGCCAGACGCCCCAGACTAGACCAGGGGAAACGACTGCAGCTGCTGCCCGGAGATCGCCCTGCCACACGGGGCCGTTCAGCACCCTCCCAAGCACCACAAAGCCGGGGGCGGCTCAGTCAAGCTGCACCCCTGCATCCCTTCCACCCGGCCCTTGGCAGTCAGCCCCTGGCCCTCGATGGCTGGGAGGCCCTGCCTGGAAGGGGCTGACGACGGTACCTGGCTTGGGCTCCTCCGCTTCAGCAGGCTTGCTTTTGGGAGGGGTTTCCCGAGCAGCAGAATTCACAGCCCTGCGGATTGGCATGGTGCCGTCCTCGGCCTTCTGGAAAGGAAGGGAAACCGGGTGCGGTGTCACAAGCCCCGTCAAGGAGGGGGGCTCCCCAGCCAGATGCAGAGGACGGGAGACCCCTTGTGGGCAGCCTCAGCATGACCCCCTCATTCTTCAGCCCCCCCAAGAGAGAGCAGAACTGCAGCTCCCAGCGTCCCGCTCCACTCGCATGAGCCAGAGGGAGGCCGTTTTAAGCTTCAGGACATTCAGGACGGCGGCAGCAAAGGGACCCGATGAGGGAGGCTCCCCGGAAAGCAGCAGAGAGGGAGAGTGTTTGCACCTAAAGGGGGCGCGGGGTCGATGCAGCCCCAGCCGTGGCTCCTAGAAGCAGGGAAAGAAGAGGAGAGCAGCCCTGCTCAGGGCCAGTCCGCGGGCCAGCGTGGAGAAGGGGTCAGCCCCTACCTCGCTCAACTTGTCCAGGGGAGCTCCCGTTAAGAGTGCCAGCGCCTTACGGTGCGCGGGATCAGCTTCCGGCAGGTCGGCCGCCATTTAAATTAATGTCTAGCGCCCCCAACGGGAGGGAGGGTGTTACACTTTGGAGCCCCAGGTGTTAACCACAAGGGCGTGGCCCTCCTAACAGAGACAACCAGAAGTGCAGGAAAGACCTGGGGTGAAGAGGGGAAACAAGAATGTCAACCACCCGCAGCTGCAGGCCGCTCACCCTGCAGAGCTAAACACACACACACACACACAAAACAAACCAGCCGGTTAGAGGGGAGCGTGACGGCACAGGCCGGGGCCAGTCGCTACTGCTTCTTGCTGGCCAGGCAAGCTGGAAGCCGCTCAAAGGCACCACAGCAGAAAGCGGCTCCGCTGGTACGGAAGCATCACCCCCCTGGGGGAAGTCCATGAGTCAGTCCTGAGGCAAAGGGGCCCCACACCCTACTGGCCACCAGACACACAGAAAGACCAGTGGGGCAGCCACCCAAAGGCCACCGGGCCACAGACAAACAGCCCTCTACTTCCAAATGTCTGGGATTCATCTGTGCTCAGCATTTAAAGACCTTCATGTCAGCTGCTGTGGGTGGTGTACAAGGCAGGGGAGAAACATTTTGGATAAATAAAACACACGGACACACGCACCCCCCCACACACCCAGGGGGCTCTCAGGGCAGCATACTAGTGGCCCAGGAGGGCAGCTCCCCCCACTCTCCTTCTTGGCTTTGACGTATCTTAAGCATCCCTATGCTGAAGGCATCCCTATGCGGAAGGTGGTGGCGGAAAGTGCCACGGAGCCACAGCGGGCTTTCCAGGCAAGAGGAGAGGTTCCCGGGGTCACGCCTCCGAGTCATCATCATGGCCCTGGTCTTCCTTGGGGGTCTCCCGTTCAAACACCAGCCGGGGCCGGCCCTGCTCAGCTTCTGAGATCTGAGGAGATCGGCTAGTCTGGGCCATCCTGGTCAGGGCAAAAGCAGCTGGCCTTACACCAAACTTACCCCCCAAAATCTCCGAGGCAGTCCCCCCTGCGTCCCCACAGGCCAAAGAAGCACAAAGAGGAGAGACTGGAGGGCAGAGCTTGTGCCCAGCCCAGGCCTGGGGCAACTGGGGATGGGGCCGGGTGGACGGGTGGAGTCCGTTCTGTGCCCTTCCTGCTCCCCTCCTTGCCTCAGAACACTCAGGAGCCCAAGAGACAGGTCCCTGACAGAGCCCACTTCTCAAGGGAGTGTGTGTGTGTGTCTCATTTTCCAGTATTGTGACAGGCGGGCGGGGCCAACGGGAGGACCGCCTGGAGCAGCAACCAATCTGGCCAGGGTCCTGCCACAACACCCCCCCCCCAGCTCATCCATACTCCCCCTCCCCCTGTGATGGGGGTGGTGAGCAAGGAGGGCAAGAAGAACATCGTCGCCCCCTTCCATCGGCAGGAGCTCTCTCGGCACCCAGCAGGGCACATTCCTTGCATTCTTTTGGCCTCAGCATTTTCCAGACACCCGTGGGAAGGGACAGCTCACCGCAAGTTCTGGTTCACTGAACACTTTACGAGCCATCATGTTTCCAGCACAACAGCCTAAAGCAAATTTGGGGGGGAACTCAGGAGAGGGTGCCAGTCGATCAGGGAGATCTATTAGAACGCGGCTGCTTAAAATTAACCCTCAAGGAACAGGTTTTGCGCTGAACTCTGGAGATGCTTATTTCCTGCCAGGTGCTCAGTCCGACCGGCCTCCCTTCTAGCTTGCTCCCCCGCTTGCGGGGAGGGCGGGGTAAAAATGTTAACAATGAATGAATAAATAAATAAATAAATAAAACAAAACAAAACAAAACGTCTCATACAGCAGCCAGCCAGTTGCCCTGGAGGGCCAGCGGAGAAGCCTTCCTCCCTGGCGCGGACTCCTTGCACTGGCATGCAGAGGCGTCCTGCTTCTGAGCAGAGAGGCTCCCTTCAGTCAACACGGCCACTGACAGACCTCACACCTCCACAGATCTGTCAAATACCCTCTGAAAGCCCTCCATGCCTGCGGCCATCCACTGGGAGTGAATTCCACAATTTAGTGACCTGCTGAGTAAAGAGGGACTTCCTTTTGTCCATTGGGTGCCCCCAAGTTCTAGTATTCAGGGAGATTCTTTAGGCCCTCCAGCCCCCTAATCCTCCTGGTGGCCCCCTTCTGCTCTCTTTGCCCTTCGACAGCATCTTCTGGAGACCTGGCAAACAGCATTCCGAATGAGGCCTCTCCATCTACACAAGGCCAGGGCAGGACAGTATTGGGTGTTTTATTTTCAGTCCCTTTTCTAATACTTTCCGGCATTACGTTTGACTTTGTCACCGCGGCCACAAACTGAATCGACATTTTAACTGAGCTATGCGCTACAAAATCCAAGATCTCTTTGCACCTCAGTTTGGTCAGTTCAGACCTCATCAACTTCGGCCTTCTTGTGCCCATGTGTATCACTTTACATTTATCCTGCTTTAAACTTCGTTTGCCACAACGCTGCCCACTTACCACTTTGGCGATCTCTTCTTGTACTTCTTCACGATCCGCCTTGGTTTTCACCATTCTGAATAATTTGGTATTGTCTGTAAACGTGGCCACCACATTCCAGAACATTTATGAACAAACTAAAAGCACAGAATCCCAATTCTGGCCCTGGTGGAACCCCCACCGCTCACTCCCCCCCCCCCCCGGGCCCCGTGAGAACGGTCTGCTTATTTCTACTCTCTCCTTCCTGTTGTTTAGCCAGTTTTTATTCCATAAGAGGAGCCGTTTTCTCATCTCAGGCCTGCCGACCTTACTCAGGAATCTTTGAAGAGGCACCCTGTTGAAAGCCTTTTGGAAGTTTCAGGATGTAATGTTTTCGACATTATCCTTATCCCTGCTCTTGTTTAACCTTCTCAAAGACCCCCAAAAGGCTGGTGGTCAGCGCCCGTGAATAAGGGGAACCACCCCAGACACAGAGAGAGACACCCCGAGTCCCTTCTCCTGAGCGTGTCCTCAGGCCACACCTTCTCCTCCTCCACGAGCATCAATCACTGGAGAATTTTCTCCCCCCTAAATAAAAAAAAGTTTGTAGAGTGGTTTGATAGATCAAGATGGGTGACCACATGTTTCCAAGAACTGCCCCCTTTGAATCCCGGTTTGAATCCATGCTACAATCTGCTGAGTTCTGACGGGAAGGTTTGCTTTCAACATTCTTTCCCAAGAGCCTTGTCATACTAGTACAGAAGCATCACCAGCTTCCCGTCGCCAGAAATATTTTTTGTGGGGGGAGGGCAAACTGGACCTGCTGGCAGGGGGCGAACTTACCATTGCCACCGGCAGCTCCCAAGTCGTCCCCCCCTCCCGCTGCGGCCTCTTCCTCACTCCCGGCTGCAGGGCATGCAAATGAGCCGACACGGATCGCCCCTGGGGGACACCACCTCCCCTCAGTCTTTTCAAGGCACTTCAGGTGTTCTGCTGCCAGCGATTGCCAGTGAATCGGCAGGCAGGGACATCGTAAGGTGGACCGGTGCCTCCCCTCAAAAGGCACCAAAGGAGGAGGGCATTTGCCTGCGCTGCCGGGATGGCCAGACTTGCCCGTAGCTGCTGCAGCTGCCCTTCTCTTTGCTCCTGGCTGCGAGAAGCGCACCAGCTTCGGCCCAGTGCTTGGCAGCAATGCTCCCTCTAAGCTGTGGAGTCTTGCGAGCAAAAATCCTACTGCGTGAGCTGCGGGCATTAAAGTTGTGAGCAAGCGATTTGGCTACTGCATAAATTAGTTTGCTCTGGAACCATCCTTCCTGAGCTAAGGCAAAAACGTGTGAGCCAGAGGCTAAAAAACTGTGATCTAGCTCACACTAAATCAGCTTAGAGGGAACACTGCATGGCAGGCCAGGGCCATCTTTCCCGCCCACAAAGAGTGGCTCCCCTTGCAAAGACCTGATGACAATGCTCCCCCCCCTTCAGTGCAGATGCCAGTGCTCTTGGCAGGGAAGATCTAGAGTGAAGTGCACAGACAATCCCTGGGGCTTCAGAGCCAGCCCGTCTCTCCCGACCCCCTGCGTGGCCGGGGACGGGAGAAGTGGCCAGCCAAGCCCCTCTGTAAATGCCTGAGTGCTGCTAACTAGCCTGCCAAGGCAAGAAAGAAGCCGGGGAAAGGGGCTGGCATGGCTTCCGAGGAAAGCGTCAGCCTTCTCCGTCCTGCTGGCCAGCAAAGCCCAGGAATGTGCTGGGGAAAGGCAGGCCGAATGGCCAGGCAGTGGGGGCAGGGCAGATTTGGGAGGGGGCATTGCCCCTAGTCTCCCCCCCCCACACGCTAGAGGCCTTAGCATCACTCTCTAGAAAGCAACTGAGCACTGCCCCATAAATACATGGCCCTGTTTACAGCAGAGTTCTGATAACTAAGTCCCACTGGATGCAGGTCTGTGCCTGAAACCAAATCATAGACATGGCAGCCATTTCCAAGGGTATGAGATAGAAGAAGGTATTTCCTTTTGCCTGAGCTGCCAGGGACTAAACCCGAGACTTTGTGTGAGCAAAGGTGTTCTTCCTGCCACCAACTGGTCCCCACCTGCCGGTAGGGAATGAGGTGTAAGAATGGGTTGCACCACTTCAGCCTGCAAGCAAAGCTTCATAGGATCACATTCTGGAACATCCCCCGACACTGAAAGCCATGTAGTACATCTACCGACCAAAAAGAAAAAAACCAGCACAGACAGAGCCTTTCTCTCTGCTCTGTAGAGGGCTGCAGAACTGAGGGCTTTGTGATGCAGGTGAAAGCGGGACCACCCTGCCCACTGAGGCCGTCCTCCACAGCAAAGTGGAATCTGTCCCAGGCCCACCTGGGTGCTGCGCGGCCTTCGAGCCCAGGGTTCACTCCTCTCCAGTGGAGTCCGCGAAGCCCGTCAGCAGGGCCGCGAAGCAGGCAGGAGCCTTCCCAAGGCAGGACCCGCCCGAGGCCGGACTGGCACGCCGTGCCGCAACAGGGCCGCCCACGGCCAGGGGGCCCCTTCCTCCCCCCCCTCCCCCCCCGGGCCTTCCAGGGAGCAGAGCCCTGCGAGGGCGCGCGCGTGGGGTCCGAGGGGCGGGGCGCGGGCGTGTGTTTGTGCGTGGAGGGTCCCGGCGGGGGGGGGGCAGGGGGGGGGGGGGGGGGGCCTGGCGTGCGTGGCCTGGTCCACGATGGGGTCGCGGAGAGTCGGACTCGACTGTGCGACTGAACAACAAATGACATGTTATGCAAATCGCCACATGCCACGACATGCAAATCAGCGCAGGGCCCCGCCCCCGCCGCTCGTGACCTCTGACCCCTCCCGCGGCCCCGCCTTCAAACGCTCCGCCCGCTTGTCACTCACCGACTCGGGGCCCCTCTCGGCGCGCAAGACACAAAGCAGCGGAGCCCCTAACAATGGCGGCGGCGGAACCGGACGGACTCCGCGGAAAGAGGGGGCGGGGCTACCGCCGCGCCGGGCCAATGGCGGGCCGCGAGCATCTTTCGAACACCAGGCGGCGGTTCCACCTCCCTCGTTCCGCGGCGGCACCCAATCGGCACCGCGCCCGCGCGCATGCGCTCTCCGGACCGCCGTTTGTAGGCTCTCTTTCTGGCGGCGGCTACGGCCGAAACAAAAACAAGCGCGGGGACGCGCGCGTTTTCGCGCTACCTGACGGGGAGGGAGGAGGGGGCGGAGGCGACGGTTGGTCTGTGTGGGGGAAATCCCGAGGCGATGTATGCTGTCGTCAGGGGAAGCGCGCGGATTTACCTCACACGACGGCGACCGGCCGGAAATGCCTTCCCCGCGAAGGCCACGCCCCCTCCGCTGCCCGCGCGCCCGTTGGGAGAGGGAGGGGCGAAGGCGCTGGGTGCGCTTGCGCGCGAGGGCGGGGCGGAGCGGAGGGAGCGCTGAGCTCGGGCATGCGCGGCCGCCTCTCAGTCTCTAACCTGGATGGCTGGGCTCTCATGACGACGCATGCGCGTGCACACGACAGCCCATGCCTTGAATAAACCTTGGTTGGTCTTAAAGGCGCCTGCCTGGACGCTTAGCCTTTGTGGTGGTGGTGCCTCAGACGGGACCTGTCTTCTCCTTACTCAAAGCGCCCCCCCCCCCGCCTCACCGACCCCACACCGGACCGGCGTGCAGTGAAGAGGGAGGCGAGCCTGCCGGCCACGAGGGGCGGAGGAGACTAAATGAATAAACATCTGCGCGCCCCCCTCCTCCCCGGAGGCATAGGAGTTTTTATTTAAAACCCGCCAGTGAAACCCAGAAGCACTAAAATACTGCCAAACTAGATTCTCCCCCCCTTCTGTTTGTGTCTTCTGAACTCCAGCTAAGCAACCTCCAATAGGGTTGGCAGCCTCCAGCTGGGGCATGTGGGTGTCCCGCCTTTACAAAACTGATCTCCAGCTGACAGACATCAGCTCCCTTGGAGAAAACGGCTTCTTTGAAGGGTGGATGCTGAGCCCCCCCTCCTGGATCCACCCCCAAAGTCTCGAGGCATTTTCCAACCCCGACCTGGCAACCCTAACCTCCAAGAAGAAGAGAAGAAGAGATTGGATTTCTACCCTGCCCTTCACTACCCAAAGGAGTCTCAGAGCGGCTTACAAACTCCTTTCCCTTCTCCTCCCTACAACAGACACCCCCTGTGAGGTGGGTGGGGCTGAGAGCGCTCTTGACAGAAACTGCTCTTTTTCAAAGACAGCTGTGCCAGAGCTTGTAACTGACCCAAGGTCACATCAGCAGGTGCAAATGGAGGAGTGGGGAATCAAAACCGGTTCTCCCAGATTAGAGTCGGCGCACTTAACCACTACACCAAACTGGCTCTCTAAGAAGACTGGAAGTCTCCGCCCCAGTCTAGGGAAGGAGGAGGTGGTATACTGCCACCAGTGTTCCCTCTAAGCTGAGTTAACGTGAGCTAGCTCACAGTTTCTTAGCCTCCAGCTCACACATTTTTGTCTGAGCTCGGGAAGGATGGCTCCAGAGCAAACTAATTTATGCAGTAGCCAAATCGCCCGCTCACAACTTTAATGCCCGTGACTCACAAAGTAGAATTTTTGCTCACAGGACTCCACAGCTTAGGGGGAACATTGACTGCCACACCTCCAATCCACCTGTCTTGGTTCAGGTGTATGGGGGTTGGGGGAACACTGCTTTTTCCGGGAGAGCCCACACATTTTGGCATGAAAAGTGGAAGCAGACACCTGGACTACGAGAGCTTGTTTCCGTATTGCGCAGGGGTCTTGGTCTAGCTTATGTCCAGCACTGAAGTCCACCTGAGCCAACCTGCCTTCTCTCCAGTGGTCAGAGAGATGCTTATAAAAGCCAGGGGCAGAGGCCCTGCCTGTGGCCAAAGGGCCCGTGTTCACAACACTGTGTCTTCTGCACTGCAAAAAGAAAACACCACCTGGCTGCACAATAGGAAGAAGTGAGGCAAGCACATACAATTGTAAAGAATAACCGGGTAAATGCATAATACATCAGAGAGGAGTTAATACAGGAACTCTGGCTCCTGCACACAAAGGTTGTTTTCCAGGCCCTTCTCACAGAAATCAGTTCCACACAACATGCAGTGTTATAAATTCAATGTAAGGCTGGGTTTGCCTTCAGGATAACCTTCCAAAGCTAAAAAAGAAGCACCCTGTTACACCTTGCATACAAAGAATAGGCTAATTTGTGAACCAGCCTCTCCAACTGTGGCTAGTGGCCACAATTTTGTAATGTCACAGTATGTGAAACCATGCAGGAACTACAAAGCAGCACCAGTAAATACCAGATTCTATTTATACTGGTAGTTTTCAGTGTAGGTTACATGCCATTAACCTATTCCCAGGTACTTTGGGGCAAAAATACTGATCCCCCTGCTCTAATTCATCCCTAAAAATCCTCCAACCATCAGCATCTAAGTTAAAGGTGGCCCAGGAGGTTCTCTCCACAACTGAAGAACCGGTTTCAATATTCCCCACCCCCCACCCCTCTTCACTAGCCAATTACTGCACATTGGCCATGTGAAGAAATTATACTAGTTCCATTCCAGAATGTCAAATATACCCAAGGTGAGAGTGATGGACACCACAGCAGTTAGCCTGGCTACATGGCATGCCCTTTCCAAAGTTGAGAAGCCTCAGAGATGTCACAGGCAGGAACACAGGACTCAGGAGATCCTATGAAGCTCTCTCCATCAGAGCATCAGCCGCTACCTCTTTGGAGGCGAGGGTCTCAGCCATGAGTCTCAGGAAACTACTGAAGGAGTGTCCAGAAAAACAAGAGATTGACAGGTGAGGGCTTCCAGTGTCCTGGCCCCACTGGTGGACGTCCCAATGGCACCTGGTGTTTTTGGCCACTGTATGACAGAATGTTGGACTGGATCATAGGCCTGATCCAACATTGGCTTCTCTTATTATGTTCTTAACCTCCACAGAGTAGCAAGCCTTTGTGTTGCAAGAGCCTAACTCTTATGAAATTCCCAGCCAGGGCCATGAGGTCCACACAGTGGTGGTGACAGAGTCTATGGCAGAAGGGCTAGTCAGTAGACACGGTAATGGCAACACACTCTTCTCACAGCTGCTCTCAGCAGTGGAAAGCTTGACTAAGATCAACCTCAGCTCTATAGAGACACAACACCATTATAAGAAGGTATTCCATAGAGTTCTGCAGCCCTCACAGGACAGACTCCTAATTGTCACTGATCACAAAACCATAAGGAAAGGAAACCAGGCTAGATGTCATCAAACACATCAGTTCCATTTCATCAGAGATTCTTGGGCTTTCGTTTCAGCTTCTTTGGTGTTCTCAAAAAGAACAGAGAAAGGTGAGATGCTCTGGATTTCATGTTTCACAACATTCATGAAATGCCAAAATTTCAAAACAGCAATGCTGAAGGTAATAGTGGAGTGTCTTCCGACGGCAGATTTCTTGTCATCTGTAGACTTCACAGAGGAATACCTGTGTGTCCCCATCAGTCTTTACCACAGATGCTTCCTCTGGTTTGCCTTGGACAACCAACACTTTCAACTCAGGGCCAAATCCTTCGGCCTGGTATTGGAGCTTAGGGTATTCACTAATCTGGTGGTGTCAATAACGGCTCACCTCCCTGTGAGGTAGAGTGCACTGCCATCCTTCCTTATCTGGTCTCCATCCACAGCAAAAGTGGCAGTGGAATGCAGAACGTCACTCAGTGTCGATTGCAGCACTGCTTCCTCAGACTTCCAGAGATGCCAACTCATGCTCTCCATCAACTGGGGCAACAATCAACTGTGCTGAAAACTCTTACTTCTCCCTGACAGGAAGGAGCAAAGCAAACTGAAGCTGCAACTCAAGCACAGACCATCAAGACAGTGATCTTGCGCCCCTCGCAGTCCACATACAAAGCTGACTGCAACCATCAACACTATTTCCTAGGCAAGGGCACTTCAGTGGCTCCTGTGACAGTTCCAATAATTGAGATGCCACTGGTCTCTGGGAGACGTGAACCTGAGGTCCAAGGAAGCCTCCTGGAGCATTCGTTTCCTGGAGCTCAAGGCCATCTGCCTCACCTGGGCTCACTTTCAGAACAAGATCTGGAACTTGGACATCTCCAACAGGACTGACGCCAGCACAGCAAAAGCACATGTGGACAGGAAACGGGACACCAAATCCAGGATGCCGCAAAGAGAGGCTTCAGTAGTCATTATCTGGGCAGAGAAACGTATTTCCTCCCGAGGGGCAGGAGTTCCCTGAATAGCCAAACGGACTGGCCAAGCTACCGCAGCCTGGATCGGGAGGACCAGTCTCTGAGCTCAGAGGTATTCCAGACTGCGGTTCTTCATTTTGGTTGGTTTCTATTAGACTTTTAGCCCGCCTCCCCTGCGCCACAAGGCTCAGGGCGGGTAACAAGTTAAAAACAATAACAATTAATTATTAAGGACAAACAAGAACAATCGTAACAACAGTCAAAGATATAACCAGATGGCAACTTAGACACTAATAGCAGAGTTTGTGAGAGTGAGTTTGGGGTGCCCATGTTTGTGAAAGCTGGTACAATAACGTAAGGAATGGCGGGGAGGAGGCTGGGGGAGGCAAAGTTAGATGGAAACTTCGCTGCCTCAAACGCATGCCTGGCAAAACATCTCTGATGGCTCTCTGCAAAGTGATCCACATCAAGGCCGTACCCCACTAGTTACAACATCAACACGGTACAAAAGAAAAGGAATCCATCCACACGTGGCAAACCTCCCTCATGTTCTGCTGTTTCTGGAAGGAGGCTTCCAATCAGGGCCTGAGGAGGCAGGTAGCGGCTGTGGCCCCCTGACAGGAGGGATTCTCCCTTTCACGACCTCCAGCAAGCACAACATTTTCAGAAGGGGGATTCTAACACATCCTCCACCTCCCACTGTGAACAGTGAATGTGGTGCTATGAGCCCTGACACATCCTCCGCTTGAAGCTGTGAGAGACGCATCCCTCAGATATCTCATGCTGAAGTTTCGTTTCTTCATGGCAGCCATCTCCATAGATTAGTTCCAATGATGTGTCTGTTTGGTCTGTAGTCCAGTACCTCTGTCTGTTCCACAAGGATAGGTTTGTGACGACGACCCCATTGTACCTTCTTGTTTCAGTCTTTCACAGGTCACCGAATTGCTTTCTCCTTTATTAGAGCGCAGACTCTAATCTGGGAGAACTAGGTTTGATTCCCCACTCCTCCACTCGCAGCTGCTGGATGACCTTGGGCAAGCCTAGTTCTGTCAGAGCTGTTCTTGAAAAAACAGCAGTTTCTGTCAGAGCTCTCTCAGCCCCGCCTACCTCACAGGGTGCCTGCTGTGGGGAGGGGAAGGGAAAGGAGTTTGTAAGCCGCTCTGAGACTCCCTTGGGTAGTGAAGGGCGGGGTATAAATCCAATCTCTTCTTCTTCATCCCAAACCAGTCCATCATAGAGAAAAAGGTTGGTATTCCCTTAATCTCTGCAGGGCCCCACGTCTACATCAGGGGCGACAAACTGATCAGAAAATCAGGTCTATCTGGGCTACACATCTGCTAAGGGAGAAAGATGACCAGTGTGCGGCTGTAGTGCATCTCTTCCCAAGGTCTGGAAGCATCAGAGGCGGTAACAGCATACTCCATGAGAAGGCCATCTGGAACAGTGGCTTCCAGCACTAAAGCCTCCCATGTTTAGACATCTGCAAGGCAGAAACTTGGGCTCTGCCACCCACATCTGTCAGGCATATCAACTCCATGGTTTCAGCTGATGTGCCGAATGGGGCTCTTCAACGAGTGGTACGTTTGTGAAAAACTTTCCCTCCTGGAGTGGATACTTTATAACATCCCAAGTGTAACAGGATGTTCTCAAGTGAAAACAGAACACTGAATTTTTGCTTTAGAAAGCTGATGATGCCCGAAATCCACCTGATTTGGTTGTTGGGGTTGTTTTCTTCCTGCTGGTGTTCATGGGGTGGGGGTGGCCTGCCCAATTATCCCCGTCTAAATATCTAAACGTAAATATCTCAACATCTATGTTTAACTCGCTTTTGCCTGCAGCTTTGTATGTTGTGTCAGACTGTTACTACCCAAATTCTTCAGCTGCTGTTCTTTAGCATCACAATGTCTTATTGGGACACAGCAGGATGACGCTAGGAGGCTCCCTGACAGGCTGCAGCAAACTCCCAACTAAGGCTGGAGTACTCCCTCCTCCCTCCAGAGGAGGACAGCCGCCCAGATTCCTGTCTCCAGGTATCATGGCCAAGAAGGCACCTCAAGCATTAACAGGCTGAACGAATCCTCTTCCCCCAGGCTGAACGAATCCTCCTGTTAAGTCCAGTGCTCCACTCTGTGAACAGCCGAAGAGCCAACCTCCATACACAGGTAAAACTGCAGCGCTCATGTCCCATTCAAACATGGCCACAATGACAAGGGGTAGGGAATCTTAGGCATGAAAAAAGTCAAAGAACTTTAGCATCCCCCGCACACACCCTTTTTTTGGCTCCTGCTATTCTGACTAGGCACGCTCTAGGATAGTGCAATTTCCTCTGGGACTTGTACGGCAGCCCCGCAACAATCATTTAGGAGAGAGGGGGGCCCAGCTTTGCCCACACACGTCTTGGAACAAAGATGCAAAGCCAGGGCAGGCGTCGACTGCACAGATGATGGGTACGGGTAAGGCAGGCCTCTCCCCAAAGCACTTCTTAAAACAAGCCTGGCAGAAGGGAAAGGATTTGGAGAGCCACTTGTGCAGAGAAAGTGTGTTCTCCCTCCGTATTCTTGCCAGCTGGCAGAGCCCCAAACCCCCAACCCCATTCCAGGCTGCCCGCTTTCCCCACGGGACAAGAATCTTGCTGCAGGCCAGAGGAGGAGATCTTCCATCTACCAAATGGGAGACGGTGCTCAACTTCTGGTAGTTACAGAAACAAAAACAAGAGCAAGGGTTTTTGTTGTGGGTGGCCAGAGCACCCGCACACCCAAGCAGGAACTTCACAGCGGAACGCCCCAGTCCCCCTGCTCAGTTATATTTTAACACCATTTCGAGTCCCTGGTGATCAAAACAGTATTTCATCAATCCAGCAACTCCTGAACAAGTCAAGCGCAACCAAGCATATGACGCATTCCTTCCTGTTTTGGTTAAGAGCAGCCAATGCATCACCAAGACATTTCCCCAAAGACTCCTTTCTGATCGGGGACAGGCGAGGAGCTGTCCTCACAAGAGCCGGCGTGTTCACTTTGGCAGCTGCAGAGGCGGGACTTCAGCTGTGATGCAGTGGAGGGTCTGAGTGGGCGTCCTTCTGTCCAGCCGTATTCTGAGGGAAGAGCTTGATTGAGGCACCTCGGGACATGCAGACAGCAGCCCACTCCTCCCACGCACAAGCCCCCAGCCCACAAACATGGTACCATGAACCACTAATCCCATGAAGACCCATTCCTTCCACCCTGAAGGGAAAACCAAGGCCCAGAACAAGGATATTGGGGAGGGGGAAATGAGGACTAGGACAGAACAAAGGCACACATTCACCCCTTCAGCACAGCAGAGAGGGGCGGGAAAGCACTGTGAAATACGCCATCAGGTTTCCCCGGTGAGACACGAAGGATGGACAGAAAATCCAATCTGCAGCATACAGCAACCAACCCCCCCCCTTCCCTTTACTCACTGCTCCTATGTGACCTGGTCATTTCTGGAAGAGACCCCCCCTTCTCGTAAGGAGGCAAGCCCCTACTGAAAGGGGGAGCACAGCTTGTCCTGCTGCTGTTAAAAGAGAAGCCACTTTCTTTCCTTTTAAACTTGCAAGGTTTGTCTTTATTTTGTTCTTTATATTTTGAAAGTGAAAAGAAATAGTATGGAGTCAATTTCTTTCTTTTTTAAATATTTGTTCTATGTATTTACAAGCCTTAAAGTTGCGCTAGAGATTCTGAAAGGATTGCTACTAATTCCTCTTTCTCCAGGGTAGCGCTTGTTTGCATTGAGCCAGGTATTCCAAGCAGTCTGGTCCACGGCTGGTTTCTCAAACACGCTCCTTCGGTTCCAAGGTCACGCTTTGTTTTTCTGTTGTTTTCTTTTGGAAGCAAGCGGAGAGGCAGGCAGGAAGATCTGATGACCCCCTTTGCACAGTTCATTCTCCCTCATCTAGCTCACTTCCAACCCCCCCTTTAGGGTTTATTACACACAGCTACCGTGCTCTGAAACAAAACTGAGGTGGATCTGAAGGGGAGGGAAATTTATTTCTCTGCTTTTTTTGTCTATTTTACAATTTGTTACAGAAACTGCAAATTTAAAAATTACACTGACATTTGCAGTCCTTAAAATAATAAATTAAAAGTTCTCACTTTTTTCCTAAACAGATTTGTTTCTTTTAAAGTATGAGTCCTTGTTTAAAAAGGAAAAAGATTAAAACAGAAAATATTTTCTATAAATAATAGATGTATTTTGGTTTAGTGCTCCTGCCCTCCGGTCTGAAGTGGACTTGAATTTTCAAGTACTTTTTCATCCTCCATGATCGCCTGTTGCGTTTGTGTCTGGTTTTTTCCTCTCCCACTCGTGCATATGCGGGAGAAGGGGGGGGGGGGTCTGCGCGAGAATTGGCCTTGCTGCACTGTGATTGGCGAAGACATGAAACTTTTTTTAAAAAAATACTTAAATTGTTTTTTTTGTTTTGCTTTTTTGTTTTTTGTTTTTTTGTATTCAGTTTTAATTATCCTCCGACTCCTCTTCCGCTTCTCGTAGCCACGTGAAGAATGCGGTGACCGATTTAAGCGCTACACCTTTCCCATTCTGCTCTGCTGGGTCTTTGCTGCTTTCCCATTTGTAGAAGGCATCCTCTGATATCACTTCCTCATCATACAGGCAATCAAAAAACATCCGTAACAAATCTGTAGGAAGAGAAGAACATCCTCTGAACAGCATTTATTGGCCGAGCGAGCATCACATGAACACACGAACTTGGTCCATCTAGTTCAGGAGTGTGTCTCCTCCAAACTGCAGTGGTTCTCCTGAACTTCATGTAGACAGAGACTCCTTTCTGACCCACACGACCTGAGATTCTTGAAGTGGAAAACCTAGAGAACAAACCTGGGACTGACTGCACACCAAGCAGTACTCAACCACCGGGAATGGCTCACGTGCTCAGTTCAAAATGTGACGTGCAGAACTGCAGATGTGGTGAAGGGAATCCTGCCCTGATTATGAAGTTATTCAGCCTAAATTTTTGATGCTTTCCATGAAGGACAGCCAACTGCTGCCTCAAAAGCTATTGCAGAGGGCTTCCTGGAGTTGCAGATCTGAATGGTTTGTTTAAACAATGCTGCATCCCATTCTGTATTTATTTATCAGTGATCTGGAACTTTTGGGCATGTGACAACCCAGACACCCCCCCCCCCCAATCAGATAAAGAGAGAAGCGCAGTGTCTAGGACTTGGGACAAACATTATGGCTTAAGAGTTCATAGACTCTACTTCCCCTGGGTGCTGTCTGAATGAGGAGGAAGCGAGGGCTTCTGCAGTGGCGGCCTGCTGCCCACCAGGACACACTTGGGTCAGTGAAGCCGAAGCACAGTGCTGGGCTTGCAGGCCTTTGACAGGAAGACCACACCCTCCTCTGCACGCAACCCTGTGGTCTGGTGGCAGGGAACAGCCAAGAGTGGGATGGCGGGGGGGGGGGGGGCTCCTCACCAAACAGAACCAGGGCTCTCAGAATGTCTCTGGCCCTGCCCTCAGAGCATGCACATGGAAAACCCCACTTAGGGATGCCTTCCTGTACTGATGGAGAATTCGTCAGCCCTACTGCCAGAGATGTTCACAGAGCAGCAAGACTGATGTCGTCTGCCCACACGACATGAAGCTGATTCAAGAGGCCAAGCAACCAAAGAATCAAACATGCAGCACACTTACTAGGAGGCTGATCAAGTTTTACTATTGATGCTTGTAGTGCGTAAAGTGCTTGTAGTTCCTTCTCCGTGTCTGAGTCTAGGTACTTAAGTAAGATCGGCACTCTCTGCTTGATAACAGCAGTGTCCACTCGCAAGCTAGAACTATCCGCTGGAAAGACAAAGAAGAGGCAAGCGTCAGCCCGAGGCTGTGAGGCCAGGCAGGCCAGGCCGACCTTCACAGACGGGGCAACTGCGGAAGAATGAAACACTCTTAGGTGTTTGGGCTGACCACACAACAGAAATGAGAGGGCCTGAAAGAAAGGAGCTGCCATCCCACCCTGACTTCAGGTACAAATATGAGGAACTGGAACAATTTGGACACACGCTTTTGATACCAAAACTGCAAGATCAGTTCTCAGCTTTACTGAGCTGCTGAAACGGACAAAGGGATGTCTTCCACCAACAAAATCTGCCCCCCCCCGATACCATCCTGTCGCTTTTCTGTTACCCTGTTCTGTACCATGGTCTTCAATTTTCAAGGACACTGAATGACAACTACCTGGGTTTACCCTGGGTAGGGTGCCTATAATCTGGAATCCCTTATGGGATCTAGCCCTTTCTGCTTAATTGTCTGACACCAGAGAACCATTGTAATCGCTGTGATGTAGTTTGATCAACACTGTTTAAGGGTTAAGTTTATAGTTTTAATCATGATTTTATTGTTTTATACTAATGTTGTAACCTGCCCTGAGCCTGATCGCGGGAAGGGTGATTGACACATGGAACTCATGGCCACAGGAGGGGGTGGCGGCGGCTACAAACATGGACAGCTTCAAGAGCTCCATCAGTGGCTCCTAGCCACAAGGTATCGATAGGGACTCTCAGTCTGGGGCAAGTGATGCTCTGTATTCTTGGTGCTGGGGGGGGGGGCAACAGTGGGAGGGCTTCTGGTGTCCCGGCCCCACTGCTGGACCTCCTGAGGGGCCATTGGCCTGATCCAACATTGGCTTATCTTATGTTCTTAAGGGCAGGATAGAAATTTGAATTAAATAAATAAATAAATGCTTGCCCAGCCACAAGTATGCTGAATGACATGGTGACCTTTGTGACCCAGCAAATAAATAAGAAACAAGAAAAGCCCGTCCCAATGCAAATGGGAGGTGAAACTCCAAGGCCTTTTCCCCTTCCCCAAAGCGAACACCAAGAATTGTTGTAGGAAAACTACCACCTAATGCTTCCCAGCAAAATAAATCTGGATGAAAAACAACTCGTGTATATAGTGAAGAGGTCAACGGTCCCATCTCCGTTCCCACTCGACATCCCATCCAATTAGACCCAAAGAGAAGGAGCTGCAAAGTCCCCCGGGATGGAAGACAGCCGCCTCTCACACTAGCCAGGCCGGTGCCTCAGGGCCAAACAAGAGGTGACGGTTTGGGGAACCCTGATGAACCCAGCTCCAATCGTATCACCGCCAAAACGTTATTTGCAGCTCACGAAGCTCCCGAGCATTCTGTGGTCGGTCTGGATCAGGACTGTGGTACAGGAGAAGGGGCTGGACAGCTGGAACCCCTCCTCCTCCCCCCTGTGGGGCTTCCAGAGTCAGCGTCAGATCTGGGTCCCCCAAATGTCTAGTTTGGCCTTCTGCGTCACCATCTGCTGGAGTCATTCTTCATACACAGGGAATTATAGGAAGTGATTCATTCATCTTTGAAACAGATTCGTTTTATGGGTGAGCACTGCACTACTCACCTATAATTGCTGCTTTACAAACTGCTGTCATTAAAGCTCTAAGGAATGTAGGTGAACTCATCTGGCTTTCATCTAGACTTGCCTAAAAGGGAAAGGGAGAGATCAGTCAGCGCCCTCAGTGGACAGTGGGCTGGCCGCAGGAGAGCACCGGCTCCCGAGAGCTCCTGCTGCTGCCCAGGGAGGCTGGTCAGGCTGGCTCCACAGGAGCTTCAGGGAGCGGGAGAGTGACAAAGCCCTGCAGCCATGCAGCCGGAGCACTCCTGTCACCCAAACAGGGCGTTCAGAAAGAGGCTGCAATCTCAGAGCACTCTCCGGAGCAGTAAAATGCAAGGATTTACTCTGCACTTCTGGGCTGAGACACAGCCCCTGCAGACCACACGGATGAAGGCATCAGCAAAACACCAGCCTGGAAAACAGAGCTGGTGACGGATGCAACTCAAAGGGGCAGATTCAGACTCCACCGAAGGCGGAGAGCCTGACCGGCAGAAGGGGTCAGTGCCAGAGGTGAGCGGCATCGTGCCTCTTCCAGTAACAGCCAGCGACGGGAGCCTGTACCTCTACCCAATCAAAGATCTGCTCATCGTTCGCCTTGTCCTCCATAATGAGTTTCTCCAGCTGTTTGTTCAGCTCTTCAGCAGAGAGTTCTGTCTTTGAAAGTGCTTCTGAGGGACTTGAACTGTCCGTTTCTGTGAAGTCCAACTTCTGCAGGGGGGGGGGGGGGGGACAAAGAAAAAAAAAACAGCAAAAACAAGGTTTCCTATTCGTCCCTCCCCCTCATCCAAGACACGAGGAAACAAGAGTTTACCACTTATCCTCTGGTAAGGGGGCCCCCCCTATTCCAGACTTCCAAACCCCAAATGTCCCTGGGACGAGGGTCCTCTCAGGGCCACTCATCCACGCCCACTGCGACCTTTCACCCAAGCGCTCTCCCCTTCCTTGTGTTTCCTCCCACTGGTCATCCCTGCCCTGAAGGGGGATTCAAGGCGGTGGGACTCCCTCTCACACTGACCCTGCCGAGTCCCAGGTGCCCGGCTGGAACTGGATGTCCCTGACCCAGGACTCTGGCCAAGCTGTCTACACCCTCCTGATGTGTAAGAACCTCTGCACAGTTGCTCCCCCAATCCCAATCCTTCTATTTGGCTTTTACTACACACTGCTGGGTGGCCGCTGCTGCCGCTGGATATTTTTCAACTGGCATTTTACCGATTGAAATGCTTTATAAAAATATCTTATTCTGTTCTTGTTGTTGGTAGCGGTCATGGAAGCCAAGGGTGAGAGGCTGGACAGAAGCCTTTCTCTAAATCAAGCCAAAGCCCCCATCCATGAAATGTGTCCCTTTCTTTTACCCAGAAAGCTTTGCCCAGTGAGCATCCCGGTGCTGCTTGGAGCCCCAGTCCCAACGCACCTGCTCCGTGAGAAAGGTATGGACATCCTCGCCTTCGGGTAAGAAGTCTCTCCAACTGAGGTCAGCCTCCCTCCACAAGGCTGCCACTTTCTTATGGCTCTAGAACAGAAAGAAAGCGCCCTGGCTGTGAAACGGGGTGTGTGTGGGTGGGTGGGTGTGTGCACGTGCGCAGGAACCCCATCAAGCTGCTCCGGTGGTGACGGGTCAGCTGAGGCCCTGTTTGCAGTAGAAGCTGTGCCACTATCCCCAGAGGAGGCTCTGGCACCTGCTGGGGTGTGGGACCCTGGCCGTGTTAGCCAAGTGAGGGGCCACGACACCAGGCCCCTCGGAGAGAGAAGAGTTCTTGGCAAGCCTAAGCAACAAGCAGAAGTTGGTCTAAATGCTCTCCACAACCTGAAGGACAGGCGGGACTGCCGCTTATGAGCAGCCGAAGCAGACTTCAAAGCCACTTCTGAAAAACTGACCTTCAGCTTGCAAGTCGGACCCAGGGAAGCCGTGGCTCCCCCCCCCCCGGTCCTGTCTCCTTCCCAGGCCCCACCATTTCCTCTCTCCGGAGACACAAGACCTGGTGGAGGCGCCCGGCACACTCACCATTTGTTTGCATAGAAGGTGCAGTATTTCGGAAAGTAGGATTCCAGCCCTTCCCACTGGAAGCAACGGCTTGCTAAATTCTCTGCAATGGAACAGCAACAAGCACTGGCTTTACCGAGACTGTGGACGAGCCCCACAAAGGATTTCTGGACGCATGGCCTGGATGTCTTGGCTCAAGAGCCGCAAAGCAGGACTGGTGCACGGCCTTTTCTGCTGGCTGCCACCAACTGCCGGAACAGCCCTTTCTGCTTGGCTGAACAGTGGCCAGGCAGCTGGAAACCCCGAGTGGGTTTCTCAGCCCCACCCCACCCCCCACCCAGAGGCGGCAGCTCTTCTGACGCATCCATGGAATGACGGGGAGCTACAGATGGTGCAGGCCGGCCTTGCCACCCCCACCCCCCCAGAGGAAGAGCTCTGCTTACATCAGAAGTTCTCTCATAGAGATCCCTCCTTCCTTTAACATGGGGGTCACTAGTTCTGCCAAGTACAACCAGATGTGCGGGATATCGATAGCCATGTCGTCTGCTGTCTCCAAGGTGTCTGCAAATCTGCAGGAGAAAGCCACACACTGGTCAATCAGCATCCTGTCCAGAAGACTGCACTGGCCGCTTCTCTGCGTAGGACTCCGTTGCCAGCACCCACAAAAGAGAAGGGAGCACCCAGAGAGGCTTCTGCTTCCCCTGGCAGAGGACTGACCCCTTGAAGAAGTCCTCCTTGCTCAGCTTCTCCGACTGCACCAGCTGATACAGCAACTGGCCCATGTGATCTCTGGTGATCTGACTCCGCTCGAGGGTGGACTCCACTCCCACTTGCACAAAGACAGGCAGCACGCCCGGCACATTCAGCTCCTCCACACACTGCATGGCTTCCTGCGCAGGCAACACAATGGGCTGGTTACACAGCGGGAGGCTTTGCAGGGGTCTGTGCCTCCCACCTCAACACCCAGGCCTCAGCTGGCCGCCGCCTCCTGCCAGGAAGCCCCCCCCCCCCCCCCCGAGGGCAGAGTGACACCCTCCCTGCCCAGGAGCTCCACTTGCCTTGTAGTCATTAATGTGCAAGAATTCATCAATGATCGACCGGCACTTTCTCTCCACTTCCTCGTCTGATAGGGAAGGCTTGCTGTCTTGGGCAGGGTAGGTGGGGATTTCAGGCTTGGCTTTTGAGGCAGTGAAAGAGACAGTCAGCACAGACACCAGGCAGGAGCAGCTTCCTTCCTGATAGGGAGATCCTTTCCCATCAGCCGAACCAGAAAGGTGGCTGTGAATTATCCTTCAGGCCCCATCGCAGCCCCTGCTGCGGGAAGCTGACGCTCTGAAAACTGACATGCCGCAGCGGGAGGAGGAGGTGGTGGTGACAAGCGAGGGAAGCGCCTGAGCCTCCTCCTGGTCACGTGGGTTCAGGTATACTTTCAGCAGGGGAGGGGCTGGGATCAAAACTTCATGGGAAAAGCGGCTTTTAAAGAGGGATTTGCACGAAGCAAGAGGAGGCATCATCATGCACAGGTGTTGGGGGAAGCAGAGGAAGGAAGGAAGGAAGGAAGGAAGGAAGGAAGGAAGGAAGGAAGATGACAGAAGGATAGTGGAGTGAACATCACCGGATTACAAGAGGAGGGCCATGGGCAAGGAGTTTGGGAGTGGAGCCACGGGATACAGAGAACTGACATGTGGCCAGAGCTGACAGCAGAGGGCCACAGAAGGGAAAGGCTGCAGGAGTCCAGATGACAAACGGCCAGGGAGGGGGGAGCCTTGTGCCCAGGAGAGGAGGGGCTGCTCTTCTGCCATGTTGCCAAGAGCAGAGGAAGGGGCTCCAATATCCAGCCCAGGCCTTGCGCTTGCTCTCCAGCAGGGGTGGCCGAACTGCGGCTCGGGAGTGGTATGCAGTTCTTCCACAGACATTGCGAGGCTCCCGGCACAGCAGCTGGTGAAGGGGAGGGGAGGCCTGCCTCCCTGATTGGCCTTCCCTTCTCCAGCCAGTGTTCCCTTCCCTAGAGGGAGGTTTAAGGTATGGGGGAGCAGAGAAAGAAAGCCACTTTAAAGGCGTTTTCAAAGCTCCCCCACCCGCCCCGCCAGCTTGGAGAAGGCATTTGTCTAAACCCCTTCTCCAAGCCAAGCCAGCCAGCCAGCCTGGGGGTGGAGCTTGGAGAACGCATTTAAAGTTAAAGTTGCTTTCTTTCCACCTCTCCCTCCCTCCACCCACCTATTTGCGTTCTTTCCACTTTCTTTTTTTCTCTCCTTCCTCCCCATCTAAAGTTAAATGTGTTCTTCAAGCCCCAAGACACTGGCCGGCCTGGCAAAGGCATCTGCCTCCTTAAATCCCTTCTCCATGCCAAGCTGATGGGCCAGCAGGGGCAGGGGGCTTGGAGAACACATTTAAAATGAAAGGCGTTCTCCAAGCCCCCGCCATGCAGCCTTGCCCACCAGCTTAGAGAAAAGCACTGTCTCTTTAAATCCCTTCTCCAAACCAAACCAGCTGGGGCAGAGGTGGGGGGGTTGCTTTTGTTCCAACCCCCCCCCCATTTATTTGCTATCTTTCCACCTCTCTCTCTGTTTTCCCCTTCCTTCCCCACCCCCCATCTACTCGGTTTCTTTCCACCTCTCTCTTTTCACCTTTCTTTCTCTATTTCTCCCTTCCTTCCTCTCTCTTCCTCCCACTCCCTCATTTACTTACTTTCTTTGTTTCTCTCTCTCTCTCCCTCCCCCATCTGTTTGCTTTCTTTGTTTTTCTCTCTTCTTATTTCTTTCCTTTCCCTCTTTCATTCTTTCCACCATTCTTTCTCTTCCTTCCTTCCTCCCCATCTGTTTGCTTTTTCTTGTTCTTTCTCTCTTCTTTCGTTTCTCCCCCTCCCTCCCCAATCTATTTGCTTACTTTGTTTTCCCTCTTTCCCCTTCCTTCCTCCTCCATCTATTTCCTTTTGTTCCACCCTTTCTTTTTTCCCCTTCCTTCCCACTCCCTCCCCATTCTATTTGCTGTCTTTTTTTCTCTTTCTGTTCATCTCTTTCATTCTTTCTTTTTACCTCCCCCCCCCGACAAATAAATATCATTAGGAAACAAATAAATATCACTGGACAAATAAATATCACTCTCAGTATCTGTTTTTACCCCTTTTGTTTTTATTTTTGGCAGTCTCATTTCATGTTATTAAAAAGTAAATTTGCATATTTTCAATAAAAATGTGTGTGTAACACCTGTTCATGTCTTGCGACTCTCAAATATCTGCTGTTTACTCTACGTGGCTCTTAAATTAAGCAAGTTTGGCCACCCCTGCTCTCCAGGGTTGACTCCGATGCTGCCGACTGACATGGAGGATAATAAAAAAGAACAGCACCAAGTTCAGTCTTGGGCACTCGCTGCCTGAGGCGACCAGAAGGCATCAAACGGAAAGATCAACTGGAGAGGCCAGACTGGTGGGCAGGAGAAGGTTCTGAGAGAGAGCTGGGTGTCATAAGCATACAGGAAATACCCAGAGGCACTGGAGAAGGACCACGTGAGGACCTGGGGAGAGGACAGGAGAGGGCCAAGTGGGGGATCCCAGCACAGACACGGGGGGCCTCCTCCCCACTGTGAATGACGGAATGGACTGAAACAAGGCCAGCCACTGGAGCATGTTCAGGCATTCTTCTCTGTGCTCACGTACTCTATAATGTTCCTCCGCTTGCTTTCCAAAAAATGATCAAAAATATGAAAATCCACTAGGAATCCTGTCCAATACCTGCCTTAACAGCAACACTTTACAGAGAAAAGAAACAAGCGGCCACAGTCCCGGGCTCAGCAGGGCTCTAAGCCAAATGCAGACGAAACCACAGACCAGCAGGTGAGCGAAGAGCTCAGCCGGTGCAGCTGCTCCCCCAGCCTGGCTGTGTGCTCAGTGCCCCCCCCCCCAGACTACCAGCAGCTGGCCAGAAGGCCCTGTCCCAGCCCCCCTGCCGGGAAACTCACCCACTTCCTTGGCTTTGCTCCTGTCTGCCTCCGTGCTGTTGCGGTCACTCTCTAGGCCGCCGGTCAACTGCTTCACAGTCTCCAGCATCTCCCTCCGCTGCTCCTCTTGTGCCTGGTTGTCCAGGAGGAGCTCTTTGCTGCTGCTGCCCCGTAGGAAGGTGCTGGGCCGGGCAACAGAAGAGGGCAGCAGCTTGTCATTCTTCTCTCTGCCTGAGCTCCCGCGACTGCAGCAGGGAAGACATTTCACAGACAAATGACTTGCCACCATCACTGCTAACAAGCCAGGACAGGTGTACGAACCCACATCTACTGAGAACTGCAAGTAACAGCAAGCACAGAAGTCCAGAGACTCCATCAGGGAGGCCTGTTTTAACGAAGTGGGTGAAGTGCCACGCACGGCCCCTCACAGCACAACATACCAATCAGGACTTCTCACGCAGGAAGGAAGGCATGCATGGGTGGATGATTCCCCCCCCCCCCCCGGGGGGCCCCTTTTTTTTTGCTTTCACCTCTCTGGTGGCAGCATCACCGACAGCCTTCCTTAAAAGCAAGCGTCAAGAGAAGCTGCGGTCGACTGCCTGCTGCTTACCTAGTTAAGGCCCTGCGAGAGTCCAACTCTGATGAGGTGACTGCAGCTGACACGGATGACACGGGAGGCTGCAGTGCAGAGAATCGGTTCAAACTAGTGGCACTGGGTCGTAAGGAATCTGCAAGAGGATGTGGGGGAGAGTGACAGCCGTCTCGCGGAAGGACCCTGCTGCTCCTCCTTTGGAGCTCACTGCCTGACGTCTGGGACGCGTGTCTATTTGGAGCCTGGAAATATTTGGGTAGGGAGCCCCTAACGTGCAAGGGGAGGGCATCGAATGTACTGAGTTCTCCAAACAGGGCTACGTGGATCACTTAACCTCAGACCAGTGTAAAGAAAGCAGAATCCAGCCACCTCACAATCAGTTTGGGGGTTGTCGTGACCAGCATGAACGTGGCTAGTTGCCAAGCTCATACGATACTGGAATGACATGCTGCAATGATGCCCAAACAGGCTGCAATGATGCTTTTGCCCTCTGTTGTTCATTTCTTTCAATGCCAGTAACTAAGATTCATAACCCCATTTGATCCTGTTTAAGAGTGCCACTTGGTGGGAAAGAAAGACCGGAGCACTCAGACACTTTGGCTAACTGGAGTCAGATTAAAGACCTGCCCCACAAAGCACAGAATTCTGTGTGAGGGAAGGATCACCCAAGCATTACAGTTAATCAGGGCTGTGTTCATTAAGAGCGAACTGAGATTGGTTTATGAGACAGGTTAACCCTAGGAATCTGGGTTTTCATTTAAAAAGCGCATGTGCAAAATGCTCCCTCTAAGCTGTGGAGTCTGGTGAGCAAGAATTCTACTTTGTGAGCTACTGGCACTAAAGCTGTGAGCGAGCGATTTGGCTCCTGCATAGATTAGTTTGCTCACACTAACTCAGCTTAGAGGGAACACTGCAAAGCCACTGTCCAGTCCTTACAACTGGGAGGACAGGCTCAGCAGTGAGCTAGAAAAGTGTGACAGAAGCTCAAAACACGACAGGATTGGCTGAATAAAGTTTCAGGGCTTCGGGCCAGAGAAGAACAAAGTACAACAGTAGAACAAACACGTAAATGCAGACTGAATTCAAGGGCATCCATTACGCAGGTCCTGGCATTCGGCCAATGAGCCTGGCTTCAGTCACTTTCGGGGCATAATTCTGGCCTGGTTTCCCAAAGGCCTGGCCACTGACTGGTGTGGGGGGACTCAGCCCTTCCCCCCTGGGGAGGCCGTGTGCTGAGCACTGGAGCAGAAAGGAAAGGGAGCTCCGTGCTTACCAATCTCGCTGACCTTTGCTCCACCGCTGCTGCCTTTTCCCCAGCTGCCCAACTGGGCTTTAGGCACAAGCTGGATCTTCTCGTCTATGGTGGGCTGCAATACACAGGAGGACAAAACATGGAGAGTTTGCTTGGGCGGGGGGGTGGGTGGGTGGGTGGGAGACCAGTCTCTTTTCGGTGGTAAGCCACAGGGAGCTGCCCGCTCTGCAGTGATTTCTCCAGGGCATCAAGTCCCCAAGGGCAGCACCAAGGAGCAATCAAGCGTACATTCAGCAAGGAACACGGAGGCCAGATTAACCGTGTGGTTTTTAGCTCCCCTTCCAATGAGTCCTCTAACCAAAGGCCTCCTCCTGAATACGTACCTTGGTGATTTTAAGGAACTTGGTGGGGTCCAGCACACGGCTGTTTTTTGCCCCTTGCACAGTGTTCCAGCCACCCTCCTCCACCCTCTGGACACCTGCAGAGAAACAAAAAGACAGACCATCTCCCTTATAACTGCCAATGATGGGAACTCAAGAATAGCCCCCCCCCCCTCCAAGTTTGAAAGCCTCTGGTCACAGTGGAGGATGGCAAGCAGTGGGGCACCGCAGGGCTCGGTTCTACTTCCGGTGCTTTTTAACTTGTTCATTAATGGTTTGCAGATGACACTAAGTTGTTCAGGGTAGTGAGAACAAGGGAGGATTGTGAGCGAGTGGGCATCAGAGTGGCAAATGAGGTTCAGTGTGGGCAAGTGCAAAGTGATACATGCTGGAGCCAAAAATCCTAACTATAAATACATGTTGATGGGGGTCTGAACTGGTGGGGACCGACCAGGAGAGAGATCTTGTCGTGGTAGATAACTCACTGAAAATGTCAACTCACTGTGCGCAAGCAACAGAAAGGGCAAATGCTATGCTGGGGATTGAAAACAAATCAACCAGTTATCATATGGAGAAGAGGTCCACCAGCGGCTATGAGCCACAAGGTATAGATGGAACAGTGTCTGGGCAGTGATGCTCTGTCTTCTTGGTGCTGGGGGGGGGCAACAGTGGGAGGGGCTTCTGGAGTTCTGGCCCCACTGCTGGACCTCCTGAGGGCACCTGGTATTTTTGGCCACTGTGTGACACAGAGTGTTGGACTGGAAGGGCCATTGGCCTGATCCAGCATTGGCCTCTCTTATGTTTTTAAGTTTCTGGAGGTGATTTCGGGTGAACTGTTATACACCCCTCTGCCCACTATGGCTCGAGAGCACCCCTTTCAGCCCGTCTGGGCAAGGGTGCCAGCGTCAACATCACCGATGAGACTGGCCTCCAGCAGAGCATCACTGGTACTGCCAAGGCATGCAGATGGAAGAGCCAGTTGAGTGCGCTTGCTGAGGCACCACTAAGGAACCTGGATAGGAAAGGGAAAGGTGGGGTGCCGGGACTTACCAGGCCTTCTCTTGTCTTTGGTCATCAACTGCTGGACTTTCCGTTGCTCCTCCTGCTCTTCAATTTTTGCTTCTTTATGAATCTGCTCTATTGTCTTGGGGCCTTGATCTGCCCTCCGTGACACCCAGTTACACTACAAAAGAGGAAACAGGCCCTGAAGAGGAAGCATTCTGCACCCCGGCTAATGGTACATTCCTCACGCCCGCAACTCAGACCTGGTGGGAACCCGTTCATGTCTGACGGGCAGCCCTTCTATCTATTTATTTGGATTTCTGCCCCACCCTCCCTGCCAAAGCAGGCTGAGGGAGCTCTCCTGGTGGGTCACTCTGGGATACTGGCACTATCTGCAGACACAGGACGTGGGTCAAGAAGGCACTGAGGGGAGAACTACTCCATGATGCATTGCTGGTGATCAAATTCCAGATGCAAGCCACTGACAAAACCACGCCTGTCCTTTCGCAGGAGCCCAGATCCACCTGCCTGCTTTTCAGACCCCTTCCGGTCACATCCCTCACAAAACACGTACCTGCCTCAGGTCTACGACATCTTGAAGCATGAACCGGATCCTAGATGACGTTTTCCTCTCTTTCACTATTTTCTCCATCTGGTTGAAATACTGATCCATTCGAGGCTGGAAGACAAGACAGGTGCCCTCACAATCTCCGCTGGACAGCCGTGGGGGTGCCATCCCAGGGAGCCTCAGGCTGAGCTCTGGGAACGCGCTGGCATCGTGGCCAGCTGATCACCAGACCACAATAGTGGCAAAGGAGGAGCAGGAACCAAGAATGTTCAGGCCTGATCTAACTTCCACAGTGAAGAGCAGCAGAGAGGACGAAGCACCTCTAGGGGAGAAAGCACCTCTCAGCCTCTGGGACAGCAACCCTGCCATGGAAGGGGCAGGACCACTACCCCCTGTATGGAAGGCCTGATCACTACGTCGTGACGTCACTATAATGGCGACCTGAGTAGGCATAACATTTCCTTTGTGGCTGACTGGAGCAGAAGAAGACGACGGGTCTCTTTCTTTCTCCCGGACTGGTTTTTCGCAAAAACGAGGGAGGATTTCTGGAGTTGGTTTTGGGGTTTGTTTGTTTTTTGTTTTGTTTTTTCCACAGTGGCCGTCTCGGAAGGAAGAGATTGGAGGGAGGGGAAAAGTTAATCTGACTGGAGTGGGATGGGATGGGACGGAGCCCAGCAAGCGGGAACGTTTCCCCTGCTTCCTGAGCGACCAAGGGCTTTCTGGGGCTGCTGTTTGGGGTTTTTTTACACAGTGATCATCTGTATTTTCACAGAAGAAAGAGGTGGGTCGATTCCCCGAAGCTTCCCTTCCCCTCCCTTCCCCCCCCATCTTTGCAATAGAGAGACTCTTATGAGTGGAGCTAAATAACATATGCGGAGCTACAAACGGCAGGGTGAAAATTGCCCTTTTCTTTCCTTTTTTAAAATCATATGTGTTGGGTTTTTTTTGGGGGGGGGGGGAATAATTCCACCAGGCCAGAAAATGGAAGGCTGGAGGCTGAAATGGACTTGCACAGATCTGCTTTGAGATTATACATAATGCAAACTCTCCCACTGACCCGAAGTCAGCAGGGCTCATGTAGAAATATTTCCCCCCCCCTTTTGTTTTGTTTTTTTAAAATTTGTGTGTATGTGTGTGGGGGGGGGGGCGTACATGCGTGTGTGCATATGTGCCCATGCCCTCCCCCTTCGGTTGCCAGCAATGCTTCCTATGATGGATTACATGCTTTGAATTTCTTATTGTATTGAAGTCTCTTTTCTATTGCTCTTGGGTGGGTTGGTCAGTGCACAGTTGTTATTTATTGGTTTTTCTTGGTCATTGTTTACTGTGGACTGTATTGTTGTTGTTGTCAAAGACTGTCACAAACATCACAGAGGAAACTGTAAACTTTACAGAAGTGATGTGGTTGCCTTTCACATATATCTGCCCCTGAACTGCAACAACGTGAGTTGAAATGACAACTGGGGAGATTTAGATTCATTGAAGGCCACAATGTGTAGTTTCTATATTTTCCTCTAATTTACTAATTTACTCAAAAGAAATTCCATAGGAAGATTGATTGTTGTTGTACTCTGTATTACAGTTGTTGGTTCCCTTGAATGTTTGTGAATGTCCTGTGTAGCTGGGTTTTTTTGGGGTCACTGGAGATTATGATTGAAGTTTACTGTATGTGAAAACTTCTTACCTAAGTATGAGTTTGTGCATATTTCTATCTCATGCTGTGTCAATGGTAAATAAAAAGTAATACTGAAAACCAGAAGTTATTTGACAATACCATCATACAACAGACATCCACCACTTTCCCCTATTATATGCTTGTAAATTATACGAAACATGCACCCAAATATGCAAGGGAAACTTAACTCAGTAACACTGTAAGCTAGTGTGAAGTGTCTGGAATACTGCAGTGAAAGAATCAAGAGAATATCTTGTTGGGTACACGAGAAACTGCAAGTTAAAACACTTGTGACAGTAGCTGGAAACTGCAGAGCTCAGGGAATGTTATGCCTACATTTGATGACGTCACGACGTAGTGATCAGGCCTTCCATATATAGGGGGCAGTGGCAGGACCCGGAGCGGGCGGCATCCTCCAACCAGGCGTGGGGAGGGATCCCTGCCAAGTCCACGGGGGGCCAGCAGAGTGAGCAGGGAGTGAAACCCGTCAAGAATCGGGATGTTGAGCAAACTCCCAAGCTTTTAGAAATTTAATTACAGAAAAAGGACTGGAGGATGACTAACTGATGGCTGTGTAAGATGCGAAGACGGCCTCTCCCTGGCTGCTGCCACTCGAAAGGCCTCCCCACCCACCCCCCGCCTGTTGTGACAGTGGAGGCCCTTCCCCCACCTTGGCCTTCTCAAAGTCCAGGTCTTTGCCGATGGTGGTCAGGAGGCGGCAGAGGCACTCCAAGGACTCCTCGTCGTGGTTCTTCAGCAGCTTCACCACGCAGTCGTGCATGATGGCCTCCGTCAGCATCTTCAGCTTGAAGAGCTCCCCGATGAACTTGATGTTGCCGATGGAGCGCCGGCGCGCCTTGTCCTTGGCCTCCTCCAGCTCGTCGTGAAGCCGGGTCCTCTCCTCTGGCTGCAGCACAGGAAAGGGAATTGGAAAGAGGGCTGACCCAGGGAATACTGGCGGAATGGCGCCACACTGCAAGCCCCCCCTCGTTTCTGAGATCAGCCAAATGCAAACCACTCTCTTCAAATTTAGCAAAATGCGGCACATCCCGTTCCCACCAGCAGAGTGCACACACAACCCCCACCCCCCCACATACAGAAGGAGCTGTGTGGGGGACTCACTGTGGTGGCGGCTTCCAGTTCTTTCTGCTTCTTCTCAAAGACATCGTCGTCAGCTTTGTCCTTTTCAAATTCCTTCTGGCAGCGATTCAGCAGCAACTTACGGAAGTTCACAGTGCTTCCAGGCTTCTCTGCCATGGGCACTTTCAGCTGTGCCCAACACAAAGCCAAAAAAACACCAAGGAAAGTGAAACATGACACGCCAGCCACACCCTCTGCACCGTCTTTGCACGAAGCGCCAGAGAGCAACATTTCAGGGCTGCAGCCCCCTCTCTCACCCTCCCCACCACAAAATTACCAGCTTGCTATCCTCGGTTCTTTCAGAGGGGACAGACTAGAGGCACACAGAGCCACCCGCTCCTGCTCTCGGCACAGTCCCTCCCGTCCCATTCCACGGCTGAGATTCTGGAACGAGGGTTTGCCGCTCCTCTGAACCATCCGCAGGGGACCCTCACTGCTCTGCACATCCCATGAAACCAACCACACCACAGCTTTCCCAGCAGAGCCAATGACAAGGGGGAAAACCCCCATCCATTGCCTGTAAAGCAGGACGTGCTTCGGAGGCAATCAACAAAATCCAAACTCTCAGAGGGCAAGAAGCTCTGAGGCCACTCTTCACTGACAGAAGAGAAGGGGGCTTGCCACAGTTTCCCTGCCTTCGCATTATCACACACACAACTTATTTCATTTGGAGAAGAGTTTTTCAGTGCCCAGTGATGGGCCACTAGTGAGGATTCCACCTTCTGTCTGTTCATTCTCTTCTTCTTGCCTCTGCCGCCCTCCATCTTGCTCGCAAGATTTAGAAAACATACACCTCACTCAAATATGTCTGCACCTAAATGTACCGCCAGTTAACAAAGGGGTCGCAGCGTGCGGGAAACACAGTGGGAATGGGAGGGGTGGAAAGTATTCAGAACGTATCTTTTAAAAACACTTAAAGAGTCTGTTGTAAAAAAACCAGGGTTGCATTGGCCCGTGTTGTTCATAGAGTACCTTCTGTGCAGGCACGAGCACTGAGCATGGGCAGGCCTGCCGTTGGATAGGTTTTACAGCTAAAAGCCTCCAGGGGGCACTGTGCACCGCAGCCAGAACTTGTTCCCACCCAGGGGCCACATGGTCTAGCGCAGCAGGCAGGTGGGAGGGTACATGCGCCTGCACAGAAGATACTCGATGAACAACAGCTGCAGGTAAGTGCAACCCTGTTTTCACCATCGATCTTCCGTGCAGTCCCACGAGGGGACTCTAGCAAGCTACTCACCAGGAGATGGGGCATGCACTCTTATTTACTTATCGAATTTCTACCCTGCCCTCCCAGCCAGAGCCAGCTCAGGGCGGCTTACATTAAAACAGGTAAGTGACACTAAAACATAAGTTACAATTAAAACAATTCTAAAACCATAATAAAGTGCTGGGAGTCGTCGTCACTCGTTTGATGGTGGCAGCCATTATTCGGTGCTCTTCATTTGAACAGCACCTGCAACACAGCTTTTCCCACTTGGGCTTCTAGTCTTGCCTGCTGATCCCGTGCATAGCGGCAGACGAAGGTGTCGTCTAACAACCATGTAGCAGCACCGCAGATCTCTGTTAACGGCACTCGGTCAAGGGAGGCTGCAGAGGAAGCTACAGCTCTGGTAGAATGGGCCTGAATGTCTAAAGGGCACGGTGCACTAGATGACCCGCAGGCACTCTCTAATGAATGGTGGAAGGAATCCACCTGGGTGACGTCTGAGGAGAGGCCCTCACCCCCCCCCCCAATTAGGCCCAGCCAAGCATATGAACAGTGCTTTGCCCTTACGGAACCCCAAAGTTCTTTTAAGGTAAAAAAAATACGGCCCTCCTAGTGAGTATAACTATCACTCACTTTCAGAGCTTGGTGTTGGGAAGAAAATGGGCAAAATAATATCCTGAGAAAAAAGAAATCTGGAGGCTACTTTAGGGAGGAATCTAAGACTAAGTCTAAGAATCACTCTGTCTGCAAAAATAAAAAAATGGAGGATCTACTTGAAGACCTCCCACTAACTCTTCGGGCCAATATAACAGCCACCAAAAGGCATACTTTCATGGAAAGTTCTGCCAATGAACATGTAGTGAGAGGTTCAAAGGGTCTACACATTAATTGTGCCAAAACAAACAAAAGAGACCACTGAGGGACCAATGGGTCCCCGAGGTGGACACAAATTATATAATCCCGCCAGAAATCTTTTAGACAAGTGATGGGGAAAAACTGGCTTTCCTGCAGTAACAAGAAATTGCAGCTAGGGGAACTTTTAAAGAAAAGGCTAAACCTTTATTTCTTAAGTGCAATAAGTATTCAAATATGATTTGCAACGAGACACAACATGGAGACATCTTCCTCTCATCACACCAAAGAGAGAATCATCTCCATTTGCACAAACAGGCTTCCTAGTATTGGGCTTGTGTGAATTCAGAAGGACATCATTACCCTCTTGGGAAAATATTAGATCTCTGTCCCAGCCTCCAGACCATTAGGCTGAGGCAATCCAGACTGTGGTGAAATACTTTGTTGATGCTTCTTAAGTCTGGTTGTTTGGGCAGGGGAAAACGTTGCCCCCGACAGATCCCCAGAAGGGATGGGAACCATATTTGGAGGGCCAAAAGGGGGCCACCAAAACCATCCTCGACCCTTCCCAGCTGGTACCTCCCTGCCCTTCATTTAAAACCATCCTTGTGAGTCCTCTCCTCTGCTGCCAACAGGAACAGCTCCCTGCCCTCCTCCTCCAAGTGACAGCCCTTCAGATACTTCAAGAGAGCCATCTTGTCCCCCCTCAGCCTCTTCTCCAGACTGAACATTCCCAAGAAATCCCTCAGCCTTTCCTCGCAGGGCTTCTTGGTCTCCAGGCCCCCAATCATCCTTGTCGCTCTCCTCAGCACCCACTCCACTCTGTCCACATCCTTTTAGAAGTGAGGCCCCCAGAACTGCGCACAATACTCCAGGTGCGGCCTGACCAATGCAGTGTACAGTGGGACTATGACATCTTGTGATCTGGATGTTATGCCTCTGTTGATGCACCCCAAGACTGCATTAGTGTTGCCGCATCACACTAGCTGCTCATATTTAACTTTCGATCCACCCTTACCTCAAGATCTTGTTCACATACACTGCTAGAACTTCAGGCTGCCACACAATCTTAGGTTCTCCTGGCTATACTACACACAGTGCCATACGATAATTAATTATTACCCCAATTCACTAAAAGTCCAACTTTCTAACAGGTCTCTAAAACTAGGGAGCGATGAGTTAATAACTGGTGTTTAGTCATCCACAAGAGGGAACGTGGGTCATCCTTGCAAGCCACCCCTGGAGCTGGACGCTTTGGCAATCTCAATGGGGGCCGTGGCCAAGCCAAAAGGCAAACCAAACACTGGCATACAGGGCTTCTGGGGTTGGGGATGGACAGAGATATGAAAATAAGCATCTTTCAAGTCAATAACAGCAAACCAACAGTTAAACTTTAATAATTGCAAAACTGAAGGGATGGAAAGCATCCGAAACTTAGAAACAGGGAGGAACACATTTAAATCTCGGAGGTCTAGAATGGGCGTTGTTCCCCCATCCTTTTTATCCACTAGAAGCATCCAAGAAAGAAAACCCTTGGACGGCTTTGATACTTCCTCAACCGCCCCTTTCTCAAGAAAAGCCTTTAATGCTAGAGAAAGGTCTGATGTTGCCTGGTTGGATGCTTTTAAGGGTAAAGAACATGGAGGCAATGAACTAAACTCCGATCTACAACCTAATTTAACGATAAGACAGAACCACTCCTCAGAGGTGATATTTTTCCAGGCAGAATAAAACTGAGCTAGCCTGTCACCAAACTTGCTAGGAGCAGGCACCATTTCTAGTTAGGAAGAGGTTTTATGTGAAAGGGGCGGGTGGTGAGTTGACCTGGGTTGGCTAGAACTTTTATGTTTATGAATCCCTTGTTAGTGAACGAAGGGCTTAGATGTAGGATACTGGGACCCCGGGTGATTAGTGTAGCGGTAATCCCTTTGATAAGGGTGCCAAGGTTTTGTTGTTGTTTTTAAGACCCCCGGAGGGAATCTTTTTATTTTTTATAATACTACATAAACCACAAAGAAAAGAAGGGAAGGGGAACTACAACTAAGGAGAAAAAAAGCAGGTTGCTTACCAGTAACTGGTGATCTTCGAGTGGTCATCTGTGTATTCACACCCATGGGATCTAGTGCGCACGCGCTGGATCGATCGGTGCTGTAGCAAGCTCTTTTAACGGATTTTTGCGCCCAGTCCCTCGGGCATGCACAGGAACCCCACCGCGCATGCCCAGAGGGGTGGGCACGGACATCCCGCCAGTTCCTTCAAACCGTCGCAAATCAACCCCTACTGAAAATGTAGAAGCTGACAGCAGCGGGGAAGAAGGGCGGGTGGTGTGAATGCACAATCACCAGTTACAGGTAAGCAATCTGTTTATCTCTGACGTGGTCTCTGTGCTTCACACCCATGGGAGATTAGCAAGCAGTGGCCTACCTGGAGGAGGGTGCTGGCAGGTCCTTTACTGCGTAGCCAAAGACAGAATGTGACGTCCCATGTTGGTATTGGTGTTCTTATGGACGTCTAGGGCGTAGTGCCTGATGAAGGTGTTAGGCATGGCCCATGTAGCGGCTTTGCAAATGTCTGTCAGGGGAATTCCCTGGAGGAAGGCAGTGGAAGTCGCAACAGCTCTGGTAGAATGAGCCCTGATAGGGCCAGGCAATGGCTGTTTGGCGATTAGGTAGCAGAGATGGATGAGCCCCGCAATCCACTTTGACAGGCGCTGAGCAGTGATGCACCTTGCAGGTGCGTAAGAGACGAACAGTTGGGAGTCTCGTCTCGTCGGGTGTGTTCTATTGAGGTAGAACAGGAGAGCCCGCTTCACATCCAAAGTGTGTAAGAGTCTGTCCTCCGTGGATGTTGGAGTTGGGAAGAAATCCGGGAGGAAGACCTCCGCCTGCATGTGGAACTCTAACACCACCTTTGGCAGGAAGGAAATGTCCGGTACGGACTCTGTCTGGCAAAAACAACAGGTAAGGCGTATCGTGTTGGAAAGCCAATATTTCTCCCACTTGCCTAGTCGAGGTGACAGCAATTAAAAAGGCCGTTTTCCATGCTAGAAGTTTGAGGTCGCATGTTGCGA